TATCCAACTCATCTTTTATCACACACCAACTATCTCATCTACCTATGTACATATTTTGTAGATATAAAATACATATACAGTTTAATTCATTTAAAAACTATATAAAACATCCATTCCACACTCATCTCAAATAAACAACAATATATAAACACATAGCACGTTTTTCATAGCAAATACTTCATATTTATGTGTTAGAAGAAAGTGACTACACACTCACTCATAACATAGAGGTAATACATTCAACCAATACTTGTATTAAAATTGTGTTTATGAAAGGGACCATACACTCACTTGATTAGACGATGCTCGGACAACACTACAGCTCTTCGAGTAGTAATTCTCCGGTGAAACCGAGATATCCTCACACACCGGACATCTCGCGGGCAGAGTTTCGGCTAGAAAACTCTTTTCTTCTCCCGATGTTCAGAGTTTCGGGACTAGCTTCGGGTATTGGGATGATACCGGGGCTTCAGGGGGTTAAAAGGAGGCTTAAAGATGAGTAGAGTAGGAGAGAGGTTAAGAAATTAGCAACCAAACCCGGCTGCCTTCGGTTTCTATTTATAGGGCTGAAATTTCAGATTTCACGTCGTGAGCTTGGACGTCATGGTGTTCGTCATCGCAACTTGGGTCTACCAGGATTTGAAAGGTCAAATCACTGAGTTCACGTCGTGAACACTTACTCAGTATCGAAAATCGTGCCCCGAACTTCAAAAATTCATATCTTTCGCATACGAGCTTCGTTTTTGTCGTTTTTTATATCCACGCATAGGTGAGATTATGCTCTACAACTCTCATTTAGTCTCCGTTGGCTAATTTTGACTTTATTTTTATTATATTATTTTTAATAGGCCGGGACCGAAAAACTCCGTTATAAACTCATAACTTCTTCATCCGACGTTCGTTTTCGTCTGTCTTTTTACCGTTTGACTACTATCGATGAGATCTTCGATTCTCGTTTAGATTGTTTCGGCTAGAAATCCCTCGATCTCATATTCGAGCTTCGGGTTGCATACTGCTAAGCTGAAACTTAGGAAAATCATAACTTCCTCATACGAAGTCAGATTTGGATGTTTTTTTATGCACACTCTCGGTTTAACGTATTCTACAACTTTCATTTAGATTGCTAAGGCCAAATATCGATTTAACATAAATTCACTATTTACATCGCGTTGTGTCGTGCCGGTTATGTCGCGAAACTTCGACAGGTCATAATTTCTTCGTTATTACTCGGATTTTGGCATTCTTTATATATCTGGAATCCTTACCACGACAACTACAACTTCGTTAAGATTATTCATTCTAAATAATCTTCTATCAAAAAGTCATTTTTGATGTTCATTGTCTCTAAATTGACTAGCCCTGATCTACGGGCGTTACAAAAAATTTCGTCTGGTTTTTGGGAAGTTACACTAAACTTCAAAGTCCTTCACTTGGTCTTTAATCTTCACAAAATTATATTTTGCTATTCTAATTTAAAAAAACCTATCTAAACTTTTACATTTAAAAGAAAAATAATATAAAAATTAAAAAAACATAAAACTAATGAAAGGTCATAAAGATCAAAAGTATAATGAAACAAGCAATACATATATAGGTCAAGTTGGGGCATGGTGTATCGAATCCATACAATTCAAAAAAACAGTTATTCGAACTTAGACTATAATTTTCAGATTAAATTAATAATCATAAAATTGAAATAAAGTGAACTTACAATTGTTTCAATGACATGTACAAGATGGCTCTGATGCCACTGTTACGTTATAAGGATCTTTTGGCCACAAAGGCACAAATACAATGAAAGCAATAATAAAACAATTAGGTAACTCATAATCCAAGCGACGAATATCTTGCACAACTCATCTATGAAAAAAAGACTCCACTAAATAGGGAGGGAAGAGAATCATAGATATGTAGCATTTGTTTTCTTCTTTCTCGCTAATTGAATGGATAGAATAGAACCCGAAGTAGGATTCCTTTTTGCTATCGCACCCATGGGAGTAATCAACTTGACAATTGTAGAACCGAAATCAACACAACATGTCAGATCTGTTCTTGAGGAGCACCACGGCCAAAGAGATAGTTTGTGACACTCTTCGTTCAGGTTTCGTTGCAGTGTTTTGAGAAATAAGAGAGGGTGTCGGATTTTGAGAGATCTATCAGTAGAAAAGCATCATCTAAATTTAACTAGCAACCCCTCTATTTATAGGGTGGGTTAGTGTTCCCTAATAGATAATTATACTATTACCTAGTATTTACTTATAGGTAAGTATTTATCCAAAATATTTAACTTTTAAATCTTTTAACTTAAGCCCATGTTAATCTACAAGTTTTCATTAATTAATTATATAGTTGATTAATTAACAAACTAGATCTCTATAGTTATCTTGTGTCATTGATTACTTATTTTTGCCCTTGAGTGTAACCCAAAAGGAAGTGCATTGTCAGTTATAGTAATATTACCAACTAACAGTGGGTATAGGCACTATCTTACAACAATTAGTTCTTATTTTATATATTCGATGTCCCTCTTTATGAAGGGTATTGATCAAGAGTGTTTTCATAATCAGACTATATTCTCTAATTATCTATTGAACCTTTACGAAAAAAAGTTTAGTTTCCAAGTAATCTCTATTATTCTCCATATTGTTTGTCTTTACTTGATTGAATCAACTATTTGGGACCAACATTATACTCCCTCTTAACTTCCTCAACCCCTTTTAAGCCAAACCAAAACCCCACAAATAAGACTTAGACTTCTCTACATACCTCATCTATGAACCATCTCTCTTAAATTAGCCCATACCATCTATTTTCTTATATCACCCCATGCAAACACAATTCAAAAATGGTATACACAAATCTAACCACTTATTTACTCTTCATAGACAACCCATCTCTTCCATAACCATCAATCACAAATCTTCCATGCTTGACTAAAATTGGAAAAATTACATGACTACAAAATATAATGCTTTTCTTGAACAACATACTTCAAACCTGGTTCCTCATCCTATATAAAGACAATGATGTCATTAGATATTCAGACATAAATTCTATATCGATGGTACTCTCAAAAGATATAAGGCGAGGTTAGTAATGTATGGAAAATCCCAAAAAGTATGATTTGACTACAACAAAATGGTTAGTCATGTGGTTAAACTTGATAGCATTCGAACAATCTAGATATGGGTCAAAACTGTCCAAGTCACTAAGTTGACGTCAAAAAATGCATTCTTCTGCGATAACCTAAATTAAACAGTACATGTGCATGAAGAAAAAGAATTTTACAATCCCTTGTACTCCGCTCTTGTTTGTAGGTTACAAAAATCCCCTTATGACATGAAGAAGGCCCCATGGGCCTCATAGCGACACTATGTCCAACATCTAGCTAAAATCAGCTTCATCTACACTAAGAGTGACACATCATCTTCATATATCGACATAGGTCACAATTGATATACCTTTATATTTATGCTGATGAAATTTTTTTCATGACTTCATCAATAAAACTCAAGACAAAACTCATTGGTGCTCTCAAAGTCGAATTTGACATGACCAATTTGGACATATTTCTTACTTTTTGGGAATCTTAGTAACATGTACACCTAAAATCATGTTCATAAGTCAACGTAAGCATATCATAGAGTACATCACTCAAGCAGGAATGCACTAATGTAAATAAATTTCCACGCCAGTTTACACAGCTTCAAAGCATAATGCTTCAGTCGGTGAGCCAATAAACGAACCATCATTTTATCACAAGTGACACGAGCACTGCAATATCTTACATTTTCCATGCCACACATAGTATACATGATTCAAAAAATATGTTTATTTATGCATGCCCACATGTACCTCACTTAAGTGCCCTTAAATGCATCATATAATACCTTAAGGGCACTCTTACATGGTCTTCGCATGTATCTGTTGGCACACATGCAACTTATTTCTTATACTTACACAGAATGGAGAAAGTGCCTTGCACTTGTCGACCCACCTCCGGTTATTGAGTATTTATGGGTGATGAATCATTTCATGCTCAAGAAACCGCCAACAAACCCTCTATTACTCATTACTCCAACGGTGAGGTCGAATACCAAGGCCAACGTAGTTTCTGAAATGTGTTAGCTTCGCAACCTACTATCTGATCACTATACCTCTATGAGATGTGCTACTCTGGTCTATTGTGGTGCTCAGATCACAGGGGCGTTCAGACCTAATGCTAGAGTGGTTGATAATGTTTTGGGCTTGGCCCACAACATTTTTAGGTCAATTTGTGATTATAAATAAATTTCTTTGTAACTTTGTAATCTTAAGCTAACAAGAATGTGTGTGACGTCCATGGTTATAATCATTGGCAGAGTCATGTAGTGTCTGAGGGGTCCTAGGTCACTATAGTCCAGTAGTGTAAAAAAATTATTTTTCTATTAAGTGTAATATCTTGAAATATGAGTGTCACTATTATTTTAGTGGTCTAAAAAATGAGATGGTGTAATAAATACTAGCCCATGATTTCAAAAAAGATATGGTGTAATATGAGTGCAATGTCTTCGAACGATATTATGATTTCTTATGTTGGAAAAGAAATCCTTATGAAATGAAGAGCAGATGCAATGGGTCGGTTTTAAAAAAAATGTACTCGTAGATGTCAAATTTAAATATTAAGATATAATTGTTCGTTTTAATGTATAAGTGCTTTAAAAAAAAAATTATGTTGTTACATTTGGTCGGAATTTTTTTTGGTGTGAACCATACTAAATTCTCGAGTTATTTGTTTTCTTCACGTCTTTATTGTTGTTGATTATCTATTCTTGTTTCTAACACATACTTATACTAATATATTATTTATGGCTGAAACTTGTTCGATAAGAATTCAACTTAAGTTCTTATAATTCCGAATTGAACTCGCATGTGAGGTTTCATGCACATGAATGATGACTTGTACTAAAACTACTAAAATTCTACTTAAAAGAGCTCAATCTCGAATAACTAAACAAAAGCTTCGACTCATTTTATGTTTTGAAAATCAAAAATTAAATACTTGAAATTCACATTTTTATGTTTTTACCACCAGACAAATATAAATCAAAGATTCTACATTTTAATAATCTTAATTAACTGAATTTGGTGCCCATTGACCATCGACATTATTCGTACAATGACAATTTGACGACAACGATTTAAGCCTAAATGTGTCATCTTTTTCTCATAGGCATTGCTCGAACACTATCTCAATGATCATCAGTCTTTTTCATTATATAGTGAAAAAGCTCACTCCCGATTTTGGAATTTTCGTGATCCGCAAATAAACAACTTAGCATCAGTCAAACGAAACAAATCAAGCCACTAGCCACATGAAGAACATTGACCAAAGGGTAAGTGATATCGACGCCAAACCATACGCCCACAACATAATCACAGAACATTCACTCTCACCAGCTCCAAATAACTGTGTCATTGTGCCTACCATATCAATAACTTTCAAATCTTGTCATCAAAATCCAACAAAAACATATAGAAGAAATTCTATAACATCTAGTCTCATACTCATACCAATGTTTATTGCAGGAGGAAGCGCAAACTGTAGTAGAAGAACGAAAAGATAAAGAGGATCCGCATGCACTAAACCCACGTAAAGTGCTCCTTTCACAATTGAAATACCAAAAAATGGCAACAAAACTAACCGAACTGCTACGATTCCAAACACAATTGATAACGACACCCCAGATCCTTTGAGACCTACAACGTGTGTCCACTAATATCAAACAATCAAATACATATACACAAACAAATTTATGATCTAAGATTACCTTTTAAAAGGTTACCACCCATAATTAATGTCATAGTCGGGATCCCAGCATCTCTAAGACAACGAAAAAGAAATATATTGGACCTACAATATGAAATATCATGATTCATGACATGATTTAATTAGAAGATCATACCCTACTAAGGATGCAGAATCTTGGATCACCCGAAGAGGAGCTGTTGTGCCAATTAGTAACTTTCGCATTGGTGCGATTGTTCCAACGATGAATCCCACAATCTTTATGATAGAAGACAACTTGTTAATTAGCGTGTGTATATGGTTGATATATACCATGTTAGATATGTGGAATACTACATAGTTAAACTCCAACATATATGTTTCAGGCTTCACTGATGCTAAGCCTTTAACAATAAAATAAACATTAATTAAGGGACGTTGGGACTTGGGATATATCTTATAATTACTACACATCACTTGGTATAAAACACTTCAAAATACAGTTGACACAGGTTAGAATCCCATAGGCTTCAACCTTGGGATGACTTGCCATTCAAAAAATAAAGCAGTATACCGCTCCAACGGTTGAGGGTGCCAACACCACCTTCAAGTCAATCCCACGTAAAAAGTTCACCAAATGTTGCGTCATTGTGTCTAACATCACCTAATACAATATAACATTCTAGAGTAAATTACACGAATGGTCCCTATGGTTTGGGGTAATTTGCACGTTTGGTCCCTAACTTATTTTTTTAACTCGGAAGGTTCCTACGGTTTGTTTTTGTTACGTGTTTGGTCCCTACAGTTTGTTCTTGTTACGTACTTGGTCTCTGTCTTACCTAAAACGACTTTTATTTAAATAAGAAAAAATTGTGGGGTAGGTAAGGTAAGGTGAGTGGGGTGGGGTTGGAGGTGTGTTTACTTAAATAAATTAAAATATCAAGGGAAAAATAGTATATTTAGGTAAAACAGGGACCAAGCGTGTAACAAAAACAAACAGTAGGGACCTTCCGAATTAAAAAAATAAGTTAGGGACCAAACACGCAAATTACCCTAAACCATAGGGACCATTCGTGTAATTTACTCAACATTCTAACTTTGAGTAATATTATATATATATATATATATATATATATATATATATATATATATATATATATATATATATATATATATATATATATATATATATATATATATATATATATCGGATACAAATTACTCCAATGAAAGTGAAAAACAACCTTAGCTTTTCCCTTCATCTGAATAATAGATGAAGATGATGGAAGCAAGCTTTCACTCAAACCCTCTTGCATGGCTACCGTTTCTTTGACACCATTGTTACCAGAATCTTGGTAATCACTCGAGAATACCCGTACTAGGTTATACACATAAGTCCACAAAAATATTGCTCCAATCTGATAAAAGTGTAGTTAATTTTGTCTAGTTCGAACAAATAATCATCCGAAAATTTCCAAGAAAAAGTACATACAGCCATAGATACTGAAGCATAAGCCATGGCATACTCTCGACAAACATTAGGGTCACCAAAGGGACTTCCTTTTTCTTTGCATACAGCTGGAACTATAATCAAAGGCAAGCTTCCTAAGTTTCCTGTGATTAATTAATTTTGAATCAAAATCAATCAAAAAATACATTAGCTTAAAGGGAATAATATTTAGTTCTTTTTATAGGGTTCAAGTAATTTACCTGCTGCACAAGCACCAAGGATGAGACCTTTTAGATGTTGAGGTGGTCTAGTGATGATCAAAAGCACCCATCCAAGTGATGACCCAATTATGTATGTAATAAGAATATTAATAGGCATAAACCACCTACAATTTGAAACAATTCATATTCAAAATGGTGACACCATTTTAAAGCAACGGATCAAGTCGATGAGTTGACTACATAAATCAAGAACCTATTGGAGAAAATTTACATGGAAATGATGCTTTCGAGAGTGATTGTTTTAGCAAGATTGCTTCCCACTAGTGCTGGACTGAATACAAAGAATACAATCTGATCAAATAGGAAGAAATCTTGTGAGTCCCATATTCAAAAAATCGAATCTTTAACCAAAATTTGCAACTTTCTTGAATCAAATTAACAACTTTCTTGAACTTGTGTATTTGAACCCACGATTATATATGAGTTCCATAATGAGAAAAACTGAACCTTTCATCTAACTAGCAAGTCTTTTAACAAAACTACAATAGTTAGTACTAAAGATAAAAGAGCCCATGAAAGTGCACATCGACAAGTCCTAAAGTGCAATAACACCTTGTACATTAAAGTATACAATGCACACAGGAGGATTAACTTAAATTATTACCGAGTATGCTTTCTTGATTAACTAAAGGGAAATAAAAAATAAAAAAAATAAATAAATAAATAAATAAAAAAAAACCTTACATTATTGACTTGCTTCCTTGTACTTTCTCCCAAGATATCGATAGAATCCAAGGCAAGAAATGAGCCTAATGCAGTAATTATAAGAACTTTAAGAATAGGGATAGATGCAGCTGAGAATAGATCTAGAAACCCCATCTGTAAAACAAACTGTTTCCTGAAACCAAAATATATATATATATATATATATATATATATCATTAACATTGTGAAGTCGAAGAATACTGGTGTATATAAACAACAAAATACATGCATCAGTATACAAACAACAAAATACATGCATGCGCAAACCTAATGAGATTCAAAGCAATCCGTCGTATTCCATTGAGAATGTTGAAAGCATTAGAGAAAAGGAATTAGTGGGGAAAGAGATTGTTATCTGAAGATGGAGAATTGAAGGCTGTCTTTCTCTATAACTTTAAATTAAAATAATATATATATCAATTATGCATAAAAAGCTTTATCTACTCTTTAAAAAGCTTTATCAACTTTTTAATAAATGGGTGGTCAATATGGAATCTAAAATGGATTTTCGTTTTTATTAATTTCTTGCAGCACCCGCTCCTCAATGATGGATCAACCATGGAATCAAAGATAAACATCAGGGTTTACGTATTTATATTCAAAGAATAGTTTATTTACAGATTTTAATGAGAGATAAAAGACAAAAGAATCAAGAATTTATAATACCAAAAGAATGAAAAGGATATAGAATCTAATAGGATTGATGTCAACTTTTTGGATTATACTCTGGATGTTATTTCTATTGTTTTCTTTTTCTATATTAGGCCTTAATGGGCTTCACATTGGAACTTTTCATACATATGAAAACCCACCGGACTTTATGTTTAAGAATAGTAATAACATAGTTTTTTTTAGTGGGATGCGCGATGCATTAAGAAAAACAAAAATGTATGTTTTGTGTATTAGGCCCTTGGGCCGGCCATTGGGTCGGCCCTGGTGGATGCAAACTGTTTTAGTAAGGTGTCCTTCGTATTTCAAGCAGATGCACCTAATAGAAAAAACCAAAAAAAAAAATTACACTGCGTGCCGGAAATTGAGCAGTGGCCTGGGACCCCAAATGCCCCACTAAGGTCCGCCACTGCCTACATCTAATTGTAGTTGGATACCCACGCGATGCGGCGGCATCAAATAACTTATTTCGATAAATGGTTTCAAACGGCGATTAGTTATTTTTGGCTTGTTATTTCTGCTAAAAACAAAAATATATGTTGATTCCATTTGATACATTTGGATTTCTCGCGCCAGAGGCAGTGGAGCTCATCAACAAAGTCCAACGAGTCATGTATTTTAATGTTATATCTCCTAGATCAACAGATGTTTTCAAAAGAATTAGTTTTGACATCCAGAAAAAGCTAGTGGCGCACCTTGTTGCCCGTTTGACTTCCATCTATGTGTATTTAACTATATTTGATTTTAAAATAAATAAATAATAGTAATAGTAATAAGTATATGTAAGTAATTTTTGGTTAAAAGTTATGCTACAAATAGAAATTAGAAAACTAGAACATAAAAAATTTGCTATTATTTAGCTTATTAAAAATATAATTTTTTTTATTGTTTTTTGTATTAAATTATTTTACGTGCTAAGTTCATATATTTCTTATTGTTGATTAAAATAAAATAAGATGTTTATGCTCGAGTCTTTTATTTATTAACATGAGTTTTTGTTATATACAAAAAGTGATTTCTTTTCGATTAATAATTAAAAAGACATTGTATGTTTTGAATTAAAATAAACTTATGTTTTAAGTTAAAATCATGATTATATTATTGTGAAATTTTATTTACAATATATCTTTCGGAGAAAAAAAAATAAACATGAATATATATTAGTAAAGAAATTCAAATTCGAAAGATAAAAATTGGAATCAGACAAATAATAAGAATGACTGATTCACCGTTAAAAACACATTGCCGACGAATTTATCAAATAATTTTGTTTGTTATTTACTTCCCAGGCATATTTTAAATGTTAATATGGAGAAACATTTTAATAATAAGTATATGCGTAATTTTTGGTTAAAGTTATGCTACAAATAGAAATTAGAAAATTATAACATAAAAGTTTTGCTACTATTTGGCTTATTAAAAAAATAATTTTTTTTATTGTTTTGTGTATTAAATTGTTTTACGTGCTAAGTTTATATATTTTTTATTGTTGATTAAAATAAAATAAGATGTTTTATGCTCGAGTCTTTTATTTATTAACTTGAGTTTTTGTTCTATACAAGATGTGATTTCTTTTCAATTAATAATTAAAAAGACATTATATTTTTTGAATTAAAAATAAATTTATGTTTTAAGTTAAAATCATGATTATATTATTGTGAAATTTTATTTACAATATCTTTTTCAGAGAGAATAAAAATTAAACATGAATATATATTAGTAAAAAAAGTTCAAATTCGAAAGATAAAAATTGAATTCATGTTTAATGCGGATAAATACTAAGAGTAAGTGATTCACGATTAAAACCACGTTGCCGATGAATTTATCAAATAATTTTGTTTGTTAATATGGAGAAACATTTTACAAAATGTTTTTTTTAATGTTTTTATAAAATACTTAACTATATTTGTATTAATATTTTTTATGTGAAAAAAAAATACTATTTTTTTTCAAATTTATAAGCTTTATTTAACTTTTTCATATTAGCAAAAATATTTTATCTATTTTGACAACCGAATCCATGACATCTATGTTGTATTGTCATTATATTTATGGGTTTTAAACTCCTAGGATCGCTAAAAATATATATGTTTGTTTACTTTAAATAATAAAATAAAAATTAATAATATCTAACTTCTCTTGATTTTAACTAATTAATCAATCAATATATATAAATAAAAACAATGGAAATATCATCATATAATATTAAAATTATTATATTTAAAATATTGATACATTTAGCAAAAATTAATTAGTTTGTCATATTTAAAAATTAATCGAATGTATAATGGATTATTAAAATCGGTTTTTGTACAGATGATACATAAAAACATAATTAAAAAAAAAAAAGTTGTATTTTTTTCTCAAAATATTTGACTCCTATATTACAAAATTAAAATAAATTATTATATGACATAATAATGTTGTGACTTGTATTGTATGCAATTTCGACTAAAAATATAACTCAATAACGTTTTGAATAAAATACATATGGATTGTTGAATAATCACATTGATAAAATTGTATTATATTGTTTTTTAAATTTTTTCTTAAAAAAACTCTAAAAAAATTCAATCGTTAAATTATCGTTCAAATTTTATTTATTCATTTTTTAACACCTATAACACCATGAACAATAAAACACCATATAAAATCAAACTTATAAAACTATTTTTTTTTAGAATCTCATGCATTTAAAACCTTTTTTTTAACTTCCTCAAACCATATTCATTTGAAACCCTCTTTTTTAACTAATACAACTCAAAAGTTTTCTTAATTATAATTTAACACTCAAGAGTTATATAACTTATATTATGTTTAATTAACATTTAGTGAAAAGTTTACTATAAAAATATCAATCTTTTGGGAAGACATGCATACAAATCATATACAAATTTCAGAAAGAAAAACGAACTTAAATGTTTTTGTATTGGGTTGAGGTCTTATAACTACTTTTGGAGATATATACTATCATATTAGAGCTTTTAATTTGTAAGTTTTATACTAATTTGTTTTTATATTTTCTTCGTTTATGGATTATTGTAATAGACTTTTGGAGATATGTTATTATATTAGAGCTTTTAATTTGTAAGTTTGTTATACTAATTCGTTTTTATATTTTCTTCGTTTTTTTATTATTGTAATACAATTGTTGTATATTGTGGTTTAATCATTAATATATTGATCATATGTTATATAGGGTAATGTCGAAAATATTTAATTAAATATTTTAAATATGTTTTTTTTTGTTTTGTAATTGTACCATTTCAAAAAGATAATTAATTAAAACTCATACATATGTTATATTTTCCATCTCTCTCACTCTCACTCTCTCTCTCTTTCTCTCTCTCTCTCTCTCTCTCTCTCTCTCTATATATATATATATATATATATATATATATATATATATATATATATATATATATATATATATATATATATATATATATATATATATATATATATATATATATAGAGAGAGAGAGAGAGAGGTCAAAACACATCAACCAAAATTCATTTAAAATCTAATATTTCAAATTCTTTTTAATAATGATTGTAAAAATTTCAGCATGTGTTACTTAATTTGATTGATTGATAAAAATATTAATGTTTTGAAACTCCTAACTCTTAAACTTATATTATTTAATTTGTTAGTTAACTAAAATATTTTTCCAAATAAAGATAACATTTTTATGTTTGGTTACTCATATTTGTTTATTTAATTAGAAAACAAGGTGTATATAGAATGACTACTTCAATTTCACATAGGAATCGATACCACTATAGAGGTATGTTGTCTTTAACCGATGATAAGAGATTCACATACCCTTTTTAATTATTTATATTAATGCTTAGTAATATCTATTTTATATTCATATTCACCTTAATTTTTTAGGTATATAATAACGAAGAAGATTATCGGCGCACCAACATAAAATCAAACGTACGCCTTGCAAATTATGTAATTAAAATTAAATATCATCTTTACTAATCGACTTATTTTTAAAACTCTTGATGACATTTATGTATAATGATATATTTTGTATGACTTCATTTTTAATTTCAATGTTTAATATTTGAAAGTTCATATATGAAACCTTGGATGTTTTGGTGTAATATAAATAGTGTAGTACAAAGTTTATTAGTTCAATATTGTTTATTAATAACTCATTCAAAACAACTTATTTCTTATTTTGTCCAAAAAATATTATTGGACATAAGAAAAGTAGATTATATTAATGTTGTACAAAAACTTATAATATATATTGGATATTATAAAAGTAAAAGTAAAGTTTATAAAGCATGGACTATATTAGATAGTATCAAAATACAAGTTGATGAATTTTTATGTTATTTGATAACTCATTTAATGTCCAAAACATAACTAAAAACGTAAATTTCAACATATTTTGATTTTTTCCCATAATTATTTTAACCGCTTAAATACATTTTTGCGCAACGCGCGAGGTTACGCCTAGTTTAAAATAAAGATAACCAACCTTTATTTGCAAAGCGAACATTAACAAAAAAATCACATTTAACTTTTCTATTCCTAACAAAAAAGAGCTATTCCTCCCCATTTCCTAAACCAGACATCACAATTACAATATTGTTATTTAGAAACAACCAATGAGCAAAATATATTATATACATACTTTAATTTTAGATAATGTTATCAGTTTTTACTTCCTAGATGACAACTATATACAAATCAGATCTAGT